CGGAGTAGAGGTGGTGGGAGAGTTAGCAGCGCGCTGTATACTTACCTCGGACTTGTGAGCGTCAGCCTGGGATGTTTCCAGCGCGGCTCTCCACTCTCTCAGATGGGTCTGCTTCGCCACCAAGTCACGTATCTGCTTCTCCACGGCCTCCAGCTCGAGCTGCACCGAATGCAGCTCGAACGTGTCCTCACCTGCACTCAAAGGTAGACACATATCCGCCATTAAAGCAAGTAACAGTGCGTAAAACAATGGTAATGTGTGTCAATAGAGTATTAGTAATGTAAGCGAGATTAGCGGCAACCACGTTGGCGATGCTAGCGGGCTATATGTTAATAGCGGACTCGGAAAGTCAAAAATAGAACTAGTGATAACAAGGCGCTCTGATTGTTTTTGTTGTAGAATACGATAGGGGATATATTCACACGTTATAGAACTGAAAAGGATGGTGTATAAAATTGATTTTAAGATAAAAAATTAGACGACAAAAAATTAACTTGACGGAGCTCAAACTCAAAACACACGGCAGCAACAAACAGGGTGTGTGTGTGGGGAGTAGTCAGACTTCCACGTTGCGCCGGCCAAACCAAACGATCGGGCGGCGCCCGCTTATGACGTCACTGCCGCGCCGTGCCGGCGCAATGCGATCATAGTCCGACGAAACCATTGTTGTTTGTATGTGGGGGAACTTTGTTATCTTTTCTGTGGAGAGAAAAGATATTAAATGGTAACGATTTATGTTATTAATATTTGTGTTCTATAATGGTTTATTGGTTTTGTGTTTTATAATGTGATTGATGTTTAATGTGAAGATTATGAGTTACAGATGAGATTATAAGACTAAATGCTTACCTACTAGTGGTACCCTCCAGGTAGGGGGTGGACCCTGGCCTATAAGAAGGGAGGCCAGCTTCACATCGGGAGACTTGTTTAGCAAGTCAGCAAGCGTGCTAGTGCAGTGCCGTGAGCAAAATTGGACATATTGTATACTGTGAGTACTCGTTTGTGCACTTTGTTTATGGTTTACTTTGGTACTTTGCTATTTTTTGGACTGAGCACTTGTGGAAATACCATACTCTTACCACTGGATATTTTTACGGCACACTGTAAATAAAAGTCACCTTTTGTTTACTTCTACGGGTCAAGCCATCATTTATTTTAGTTAATTGTTTTTTTTTTCTTTTTCGGACCTAAAACGTCTTGCAGTAGATCTGCAAGGGTCTACTGCATCACACATTATAGGTGTGATTTATGAAATCTAAAGTCTTGGTTCACTCAGCATATGAAACGGTTTGGGGGCTGAAGCAATCACAGCCTCTGTGTGTGCGCATGTTTTAGTGATTGTGGTGAGATTGTGGCATAAGCGGAGAGATAGCCCTTTCTATCTGGCTGTATTATCCAGGTACAGCCTAATCAGATCCAGCTTATTGAACTAATGCTCAAATCTTTAATGTGGATCTGCTCTCTGTGTGAGTGCAGAATGAAATGAGAAACAGAGCCAAAGTTTAGATAGCCGTGATCAAAGCAAGCTGTTTAATTTTGTAACAGTCAGAAAATGACCATGTAGGGCCAGGAGCTGAATTAATGGATCACAAAGTCAAACTGACCTTAGAAGAACTTAAAATAGAAACCTGATACAAAATTATCTTCATCATCAACCCACCCCCACCATTCAATCTCACCCTCCCAAGCTCGCTGTCTGTCTGTCTCTCTTTCTCTTTCTGTGATGAATGCTTTAAAGAAAAATGATTTAAGGCTTGTGTCACATGACTCATGTCAGCATTACATCTGTCTGTTTATTTGTCTGTCTGTCTATCTATCTATCTATCATGATAGATAGATAGATAGACAGACAGACCGATAGACACACAGACAGCCAGCCAGCCAGATGTGAAGACACAATTAAAAATAATCTAAATCCACTTGACTTCCCAATTACATATAAAGAATTGACAAACAAACTCAAAAGCTAAAAATATAAGAAATATTTTGGTCCTGACAGCATTCTAGGTGAAATGCTGAAACACAGCACACCTGAGCTTCAGACAGCTGTGCTCAAATTATTCAACACTGTACTTAGTTCAGGCTGCTTTCCTGACATCTGGAGCCAAGGACTCATTACCCCCATTCATAAGAGTGGAGACAAATTGGACCCTAATAATTTCAGAGGCATTTGTGTGAGCAGTAATCTGGGGAAGTTATTTAGCAGTATTTTAAACCATAGAATGTAAACTTCCTTAACGAGCACAATGTCCTGAGCCCGAGTCAGATTGGCTTCCTTCCAAATCACAGAACGACTGACCACATTTACACCTACATAATTCTTCACCCAGAAAAGAGGAGTGCAGCAGGGCTGTAGCCTGAGTCCAACACTGTTCAACATTTACATTAATGAATTAGCGGTGCAGTTGGAACAGTCTACAGCCCCTGGACACACTCTACAAGACAAAAACATCAAGCTTTTGCTGTATGCAGATGATCTGGTGGACAACTACTGCCAGAACTGGGCCCTGGCAGTAAACCTCAAAAAGACCAACATTATGGTCTTTCAGAAAAAGCCCAGATGTCAGGAACACCGATACCAGTTCAGTCTAGAACACACGATGCAGTACACTTACCTCGGCCTGATCATCACTGCATCGGGGAGTTTCAGTTTGGCAGTGAATGCTCTCAAATATAAAGCTCGAGGAGCTCTATCAAGAAAAAAATTCCAAAATATTGAAATACCGCTTCCAATTTGGTGTAAAATCTTTGATAGTGTTATTCAGCCCATAGCGCTGTATGGAAGTGAGGTTTGGGGTCCACTCAGTGATCAGAGCTACACTAGATGGGACAGACATCCAACAGAAGCCCTACACGCAGAATTCTACAAAATGATTATAAAACCACAAAGAAAAACACCCAATAATGCATGCAGGGCAGAATTATGGCAAATTCCCATTGATTATCAATATGCATAAAAGATCTCTCAAATTCTGGATGCATCTTAAATCAAGTCCCACAGATTCGCTACATTTTAAAGCGCTACAAACCCAAGAACTGAACCCCGAAAAGAGTCCACTCAGTCAGCTAGTTCTGAGACTTACTAACCTGACAAACTCCACTAACACTACCCAGTCTCAAACCAGCACTGCTTCTCATCCAAACATCAAAATAAATCAAATTATCAAACAATCTAAAAATACATATCTGGAACATTGGGATCATGAAACTAAAACACAAAGTAAATTACAATTCTATCAAACTCTAAAATCAAATTATGAATTGGAAGATTATCTCCAGAGTGTCAGACACACAAAGCAGAGACAGATCCTGACTAAGTACAGGCTCAGTGAGCACAGTCTAGCCATTGAGACCGGCAGACACAGAAAGAGCTGGTTACCCAGAGAGCAAAGAGTGTGTGCTCACTGTGAGACAGGAGAGATCGAGACAGAGACGCACTTCCTCCTTCACTGTCATAAATACATATCCATAAGAAACCTCTACTTCAACAAATTCACCAACTTAATAAAGAACTTTACAGCCATTAGTGAAACAGAACAAATAAAGATAGTAGTAGGAGAGGGACAGACAGCAGCACTTGCTGCGAGATACGTGTGGATGTGCCACAGCCTGAGAGACAGCAGGTGAATGTTTGTATGTGTATGTGTGTGTGAGAGAGAGAGAGAGACAGCAGGTGAGTGTGTGTGTGTGTGTGTGTGTGTGTGTGCGAGTGAGAGAGAGACAGCAGGTGAATTTTGGCGCTTTTCCACTGCGTGGTACGACTCGGCTCGGTACGGCTCAGTACGTTACGGCACGGCTCGGTTTGCGTTTCCACTGCAGTTTAGTATCGCTTTAGAATGGACGGGATTATTCACATGTCGTTATAGTTGCACCACCTCTACTGCCACGACTCCTAAAAAACGTTTTAATTCCACGTCGCCCCATCAAGCTCTCGCTGGATCCGCTCCTCTGCTATCAACGAGAGGAACGTCTGTTCTTCCGCAACAGGGGGAACAGCCACTTTTTGGTTGTTAAAAAAAGGTGCGCTCGCTCAAAACAGTTGTGTTCGATCCTTTGCTGGCTGTGCTGATTTAAATCTAGCGGTTCTGTTGTGTTTGTGTCTCATGTCGCAAGTTCAGTGACGCAGGTAGTGACGATTCTCTCCGGCCAATCCGTGATCAGCTGAGTTTACACGTCACGTTTTGGTAACGGTACGGTACGCTTGGAACCTCAACCGAGGTGGTACTAAAAAATTTACCAGGTACCAGGTACTGTACCCAGTGGAAAACCCCCCAAAAAGTTAACCGTACGGTGCCGTACCATGCAGTGGAAAAGTGCCATTTGTGTTGTGTCTGACCTCAGTGTGTTACCCTACTGTCCACCACTGTGATCCGAAGTATTTATGTGTGTTTCTATGCAAGTTAAAGACTGTGGTATCAAATGTTCACGTTATAATTTGTTACAGTTTAATACTTCTAAGATGTTATAATATTCCATTATATTACTGTGATGTTCATTTACTTATTAGGGGCCAAGCCCAAAGGGCTGTAGCCCCTTATTGTATCTGTATGTTTTATTATTATTATTTTTCCCCAATGGGTTTCTATGGCAGCCCTATGGAGGCAACATAGGAAAATTATGAAATTTGGCACACTTGTAGTGATGGTCATAAATAGATCTGACCAACTTTGGGGTCTCTAGGACCAACTCAATAGCACCACCACCAGTTCAAAAATTCAACATTGAAATGGTAATAACTCTTGAACCCCTGATTCTAGAAAAATAAAACTTAGTACACCTTGTAACGATCGGCCTTATTGGAAGATGTTATGTTTGTTAATAAGGGGTCAGATTATACTATGTGAGAGCTTTGAGTGTTTAAAAGATGAGACAGACAACAATGTTAAAAGTGAAAATGAAATATGTATTTACAATATTCACAAGAGACTTGAAACAACACAAAACTAGAAGAACTTAGGCTGTTAAAAGTAAAGAGTCTTTCAGTTTCATACCATTAAAACAGTCCTTAAGAAATCCAGTGTGTTGCTAGTCCCAAAGTGAATGGCCCCAAAAGTGTCCACCGGTGTACAGTGGGGCAAAAAAGTATTTAGTCAGCCACCAATTGTGCAAGTTCTCCCACTTAAAAAGATGAGAGAGGCCTGTAATTTTCATCATAGGTATACCTCAACTATGAGAAACAAAATGAGAAAAAAAAA